GCAGCAGAGAACAGGTTGAACACGAAGCCGTCCAAACGAACGGCGTGAAACGAAAGAAAGAGAAGAAAAGAAAGAAGGAAAAGAGGAAGAAGACTAAAGTCGATGAGGAGAAAAAGGAAAAGAAGCACAAGAAACATAAGAAAGAAAAATTTAAAGAGAAAACGTGAGGTTCAGAACCTCCATAATGGGGCTCAATGGAAAAAAACCGACGAATAGTAGTTCGTTTATGCTCAACTCCGAAAGCATCCGACCACGACGTGTGATGCTAACCGACTTAGCCGAAGGTTATCCGACGCTTCTTAAGTAAATCCGACAGCTCCCGACTAAAAGCTGGCCGGTTGGACTTTCTCAGAGTCCGTTTCCGCTGTTTTGATAGTCGGGCGGAAACCGTCGCTCACCTATCGCGACTTCGTCGCTCATTTTATAGAAGTAGAAGTCGAGTTGTGGCAAGTCGAGGCTACAGTCGGAGATTGCTGAGAAGAAAACGCAAAATTGTCAATTAATTCCGAGAGTGCCCGATCAAACCATAAGCAACTATCGAACCTTTGTGTACAGCTGAGGGCGGTGTACACAGGCTCATCCGACCAGGGGAAGGTTTGTCAAGTTATCNGCAGCAGAGAACAGGTTGAACACGAAGCCGTCCAAACGAACGGCGTGAAACGAAAGAAAGAGAAGAAAAGAAAGAAGGAAAAGAGGAAGAAGACTAAAGTCGATGAGGAGAAAAAGGAAAAGAAGCACAAGAAACATAAGAAAGAAAAATTTAAAGAGAAAACGTGAGGTTCAGAACCTCCATAATGGGGCTCAATGGAAAAAAACCGACGAATAGTAGTTCGTTTATGCTCAACTCCGAAAACATCCGACCACAACGTGTGATGCTAACCGACTTAGCCGAAGGTCATCCGACGCTTCTTAAGTAAATCCGACAGCTCCCGACTAAACGCTGGCCGGTTGGACTTTCTCAAAGTCCGTTTCCGCAGTTTTGATAGTCGGTCGGAAACCGTCGCTCACCTATCGCGACTTCGTCGCTCATTTTATAGAAGTAGAAGCCGACTTGTGGCAAGTCGAGGCTACAGTCGGAGATTGCTGAGAAGAAAACGCAAATTGTCAATTAATTCCGAGAGTGCCCGATCAAACCATACGCAACTATCGAACCTTTGTGTACAGCTGAGGGCGGTGTACACAGGCTCATCCACCCAGGTGAAGGTTTGTCAAGTTATCCTTAATCAGTGCTATCAACTCCGATAGTAACCGACTAAACTGCTCTACGATAATTAAGATTGTCAAAGAGTGACAGTGCATTGTTCTGCTTCCTTCAGGATAATTTAACATAGTTAGAAAGCATTGATTGCGTCCTGAAAGTACCCCGGCTGAAAATGATCATTTCAGAGCGCTCTGTCAAGTCCGAAAATCATGCCATGGTGCTTCGACCTGTGCGTCGTTGGAGCATAACCGACGATTAACCGAAGATCACCCGATTATATTCGATTAACCTCCCCACCCCTCACTCCCCGGAAAAGTACAGTATCGAGATGAAATGAGCATTGCTATCGGATGATTCTTGTGATCATCTCTAGAAGCACTCGGCTCGTGAACATATGCAAGTCAGAAGTGGTTAATCGTGCCCAC